TTTGACAGAAGGAAAAGGAGCCTTTCCAATGGTTCCTTTGCCAACTATGGTACCACAGTTGTCATCACCAAAGTATACTTTTCCTTCTGTTTTGAACACAAGATTTGAGAACAGAGATACATTACCTGTCATATGATGGGAACAGCCACTATCAAGGTACCATTCATGCTGAAATTCATTTGATTTCTCTGTCAGACTTACAACTTGTTGTGAGCTTTCTGAATCTTCTTCCATTCTGGCCATGTAGGCAATTTCGTAGTTATTCTCATCTTCTGAGTCACTTTCATAATCGCTCCATGATGCCTTCATGGCTTTCTCTTTTGCTCTAATGTTCTGTGGGCAGTGAGCTCTAATATGACCCATCTTCCCACATTTATAGCAAGCTTGAGGGTCCTTTTCATTTGCTTCTGAGTCCCTTTCCTGTGCAACAAATCTATCTGAAGGAGCATATCTAACACGATTAGCTCTGTTAGTATCAGAAAAGCGATCATTATATCGAGAATTTTGTTCCTGATTACGAACAGGGCCATTTGAGGACCTGTAATTTTGATCTTTGCTAGGCATTCCAGGTCTGTTTCGATTTTCCTGATGAATTCGCTTTTGGTCATTTTTATATTTCAGCATACGCTGATATTTTTTTGTAACCAAAGCGAATTCCTTTTCAAAATCTAAATCAACTTCTCCATCAGATTCATAATCCACAACACGTGATTTAAAAACTGATCTTTGCATCCTTTTATCATTTTCAGATTCAAATTCATTGAATCGAGAGTGAAAGGCTAAGTTTTTCTTACGACGATCTTCATCCTTTCCAACCTGTCTTATAACATGCTCATGACTCATCAAAGACCCGATCAGTTCATCTACTGCTAGAGTGTTCAAGTTCTTAGCTTCTTCTATAGCCGTTCTTTTAGGTAACCATTCCCTAGGTAGGGATCTCAAGATTTTCCTAACTAATTCTTTAGATGTGAAAATCTTCCCTAAACCTTTCAGTTTATTAGTAAGACCAGTAAATCTAGAGTACATATCATGGATACTCTCACCTGGAATCATGTCGAAGACTTCATACTCATGGAGAAGTAAGTCGATCCTCGTCTCTTTGATGTTCGAGGTTCCTTCGTAAGTAGCTTCTAGCGTAGTCCAGATCTCTCTTGCGGATTCGCACTGCTCAACCTTGTCAATTTCATCTGGCGACATAGCAGTCTGTAAGATGTGCATGGCTCTGCAGTTTAGCTGAGCATTCTTCTTTTGCGCATCCGTCCATTCGGTTTGTCTCTCCATATCCATCTCTCCTGGTCCATCGCGAATGATTCCCCATAGATCAGCGTCGATTCCCCACAGGAAAGTCTTCATTCGTTTTTTCCAGGCATTGTAATTCGACCCGGTGAACCAAGGCGGATTGTGATGTGAAGTAGGACCAAACGTGGACTGAGAATGTGTTGCCATAGCTCGATTTACCCTTGGTAGTGATAAACCTCCTCAAGGGCAGGCTCTGATACCAATTGTAAATTGAATTGAGGCAGAGGAATTAGGGTTCGAGAAAGAGAAGAAACAACGAAGTGAGAGGCAAATGCGATGGCTAAGAAAGACAAGAAGAGTCTTTCTAACAGGCTTTGTTTGCAGGCTCTTCGTTTTTCTAATAGGGCTTAAGATATAGCAGGCCCAAGGAATTAAAACCAAAAGCCCGAAGACACAGTAATGAAGAGGAAGACCCAAAAGGATGATCTTCTTCTTCTCCGAAAAGCAGGCCACTTCAGCTAGGATAGCACAAGCGAAACAGAGCAACAAACCAGACGAAAAAGTAAAACAGTGGAACGAAGAGACACAGAGTTTTTTAATGTGGTTCACCCAGTGCAATGGTTACTTCCACATCCCAGAGATCAGCATTAGCTGTACTCCAGGAGATTTATTGTGAATAGAAGAACAGACCCTAAGCAGCAGCTTAGGCTTCAGCCGTGATTTCAACTGAAACTCACGATTACAACCTTGTGAAATCATAACCTATACCTCTGATTTCTACAAGCCCCTTTGATCCCCAGAACCCTTTCCCGTTCTAGTAATTCAGCCTATCAAAAGTACCTCTTCAAACAGAGAATTAGAGTCTCTTAAATAGATGCAGCAAGAGATGACCGTTGAGCAATCCAATCCTGTGATTTCTCCGATTTGCCGCCAAGCCAGATTCAGACCGTTGGGAATTACCAAATCGGTTGATTTGAGAAACTTACCAAAATCTCCAATTTCCTTCCAACACGACAATCTAAACCAGGAACGGGGACTCTAATGACCTGAATCGAGGTCTAGGAACGACTACAAGGTAAGGAGAGCCGATCCCTCGAGTTAAAATCGATGTTTACATGATTAGATACGAGTTTGGAAAAATCTGGGAATTAGCGACGACGATCAAAGTTTCTGGTGACGGATCCGGTTTCGTCGCCAAAAGCTGACCTCTAGGAGCAGAGGCAGTCCTTTGGGACGGCCAGTATTCATCTCTGGTGACTGTTTCTATATTGGTCACGAAAGGTGTCGTCGCTATTACCATTTAATTAGTTCTAGGTTAATAATTTAATCATGTATCTTCAATTAAATTTTTACGTAGTTGATTTAATACGTATGTATGGATTAGGACATTAATTACTTAGTAGTTCAGAAAATGATTTAATTTGAATTAGTGATTTATTTTATCTAATATTATGATTATTAGTGTCTTCAAGCGGTTCGTTAAGCAACTTAATAAGTTAAGATAATTTATGTTAATAGCTAGCAAAGTTTGGTTTTAATGAGTAGAGTATTATGACGAGTTTAGTAGAAGATCATATGATAATTAATTGGATTAGGAAGTTATATTATTCTTAGTAAAATAAGTCTTACTAGCTGTGACTCACTAGAATAATAGAAGTAGTTAATCTATTGATTAATAACCCAAGTTAATTGATAGATCAATTCGGAGAAATGTAAGTTGAATTAGGAGACCCAATGACAGTAATTAAATTTAATGCCATGTTAGCAAGCCCTATACTTTGCACATCTTGCAAAGTAGTCCAAATTGGGAAAGTCGTCGCTAAGAACCCGAAACCCAATCGATCTAACCTCGACTTTCGTCATAGGTTCGCCAAGGCATTTCGCCCATGAAGAACACCGATTTCTCGAGTTGATGGCTAAATGATCAGGTTAAGCGACTTAAGCTAATAAGGTGCGTGGTTTGAGGGGGCTAGTTAGTATTTCGCTTTAATCATGTCATTTACTTAAGTTACGCTCATATGCTCTATGTGTATGTTCATGGTAAGTTTATTTATGTTCAGCAAGCATGTCATTGCATTTCATCATGAAGCTATGTTTTAAAGCAAGCATATACAAGTTATGTTTTAAGCAAGTTCATGGACCCACGTTACTAGTTACCAAGTTATCAAGTAAGAATACGCTTTTAACTACTCGCTTGACTAGCAACTCGCGGCTACCTCACTTCCCGTTAGGTGGAAGTTTATGATTATGATAAGTTATGCCGGTGCCGGTCAATTGCTTAGATAGCACGCGGTTACCTTACTTCCCACTAGGTGGAAGTTTATGATTAAGATGTGTCTTCCCACTAGGTGGAAGCTCACATATACGTATGTTACGATTGGTGTCGGTCGGTGTGCTAGTTGAGTCGAGTTCGGGGCCCCCTTTCACAAGAATTAAGATTCAACAATTGATTTTAAGCATATGATCATGTACCAAGCATTGCACTAGCATCTTTGTTTATTTATTTCAAGCATATGTTGTTATGAGTTTTCACCATTAAAGCGAAACTATGATTAGGACTGACCCCAACGCCCGCATTCAGGAATCATAGAAGAACATAAGCACGCATATGGATTTGACGGTTCATCAATGGCTCCAGAGGACTCCAGAAGCAAGAAGTTAAGTTCATCGTTTTAGTGGAACGAGAGACTTGATGTGATTTTACGATGATATTTATTACGTCAAGAGATGTTTCAAACCATGTTGACTTTTTATGTCTATTGTTTTCTTTAGTATGACGCTTCCGCTACCTTTCAATGTATTTAATGTTCATTGAATTATAAGGGTATTTTGGTAAAAGTAGCACCCTATCGGGTTGGGGTGTTATAATAAACATCTTCGACAAAAAGAAAAATATCTCTCTTTTTTCTTCGGCTGTTTGGCTTCTGCCAGATCTCTTCTATGCCTGAAATAGCACAGATAGGGGGCAATTTTTTTTTTTTTTTTGAAGAATGTGACTGAATTTCATTAAGTACAAAGCTTGCTTACACAAGTCAAGTGGTTACATCGATAGGAGATGATGGTAGCTAATCAACAAAGTCATTGCAAAATTTCAGGTGGAACCAAGAGTTGGTATTCATAAGATGTAGGAAATTGAATTCACATCTCTATTGCATCCGACTATTTGACTAGCCTGCATGGAAAGCACAATCCAAATTACCTTCTGATATTCGAGCCACTATTTGTGAGAAGTAGCGAGTGCAGCGTGAACCTATAACAAAAGTTTTCATATCATTATGAAAACAAACAAATCTCTTGCTGCATTCGGATTGCAACATTATTTGAAAATGTTACGTTAAATGTATTATAGGAACTTACATATTAGATAATTTTCGCGACTCAAATCAATTAAATGAAACTCTATGTTGCATTTGCTCTATTATATCAAAGTAATTTAATTTATGGGTTGCCAAATTATATTGTTTATGCAACATTTAAAATTGTGATGCGAAAAATACGTTTACTACTTAATGTCTTACTCAGAATCAAATTTTGATTAGGAAAAAAAACGCAATTCAGAAAAGGATGCAAAATGTAAAAAAGAAAAATAAGGGTTAATCGATTCGAATTCACCACTCCAAAAGCCACAAGTAGTGATCCCCACCCACCTTCTCTCGACTCTCATACAATAAAATCAGCTGGTGCAGAACTAATCTTATGGGTTTTAATTATTTAAAAAATCCGACTGATGGGACACTAACAAATAATGTTTTGAAATATTTCCTTTAAATATCTTAATTAATAATTAATTGAGAACACCAACTAGAATTTCACAAACCGAAACATATGCTTGAAAACAAGCTTAGTCAAGCAGAACCCTGGGTCCCTCCCGCACATTAGTAAAAGTAAACACACAGTATAGCTGCCTAATTGCATATCAAGCCGATTTATTCAACGATACTAATTGGTTACATTAACGCACGCGCTCACTGTGGCGACTGGCGATAGTAGCCTAATGGATCTGGACCTCCTTAACAGCATCTTTGGGCCTCTCGGTCCGGGGAACGGTAATCTGAAGCAGCCCATCTTTCAACTCGGCCCTGATATCATCCGCTTTGGCGTCTTCCGGCAGAAGAACGGTGGTATGGTAAAACCCGTAGCTCCGTGCCGACCAGAACTCGTCGTCGTCCGATTCATCCTCCCCACCACCACCTCCTTGTGCTTCCTCTTTGTGCTCGCCCTTGATCGTCAAAACGCCGTCGTCTACCGTGATCTTGAGGTCCTCCTTGGACAGCCCCGGCACCTCGTAGCGGAGCTTGTAGCACTCGTCTTTCTCCTTGAACCGGCCGATGAGATTCGACGGCGTAAGGTGCAGGTTCTGGAACAGCCTGTTTATGTTATCCGTCGCCTGCAACAGCGCGTTGCCCAGCCCCGAAGGAAAGAACTCTGCTCCAGAAAATTAATCAATGGCAAAGGTGAAGTTAGGTTGGAGCTAGAAGGGACTGTATCCTCCTTAATTTTAGGTAAAATTACTTGTGAAATTTATACAAATTTAGGGATTAAAATAGCTGATAAGGCTTAGTCCGATTCCCACAATTACGACATTTTAAGTCAGTCGTCCCTCGTTTGAATTTCTGGCTTTGCCACTGATCAATTGCTCGAATTATTGAGATCTATCTAACATTGGCAAATATTCAAAGGTACGTACCTTGAAGGGCGGGAACGAACTCCCGGCCGTCGCCCCTCCAGAGGGCAGGGGGTCTTCTCTTGCCTCGGCGCCGGCTTTTGCCGGCGGTGGTTGTGGTCTCCACAGCGACCTGTTTTCCGTCGGACTTAGTCTCGCCAGCTGCGGCGCTTGCCATAAACCTCTTAGTAGGTGACCAGTTGTTCTTCATGATCATCAACTGATCCTCCTCATAATGTTTCCAGTGGTAGCACTTCCGATCACCGGCGGCGAGCGGCGGAGGAGGTGGTGTAGTACTGCGGCCAGCGCAGGACAGGGCCCGCTTGCTGAGATTCCTCATTAACCCCAATCGTGCCTGCAGAGCCATCTCGTAATATGATCACACGGATTGAATTCGATTTGGGACTTAAATAATGATGGGATAGTGCTATTATTAAAGTGGCTAGCTCAGCAGTTTTACTTTTTTGGTTGAAGCGTCGAAGAGGTTCTGGGACAGCGCTAGAAGGCTCCCTTGCCTTCTCTCCCTGGGTGCTTCTGGAGTTCTTCAGGGGTATTCATTCCCTACTGCTGCCTTATTCGGTTATTCCTATGGAACAAGGTTGTCAACCCGGGTTGACCCGCGGATCGACCCACTTTGACCCTGACCCGGTGAGAAAAACGGGCCGCACGCACCCGCTGGGCCGACCGCTACAAGGTACAGAGTTGGAGGTCAAATTGTGTCATTTTTTTCATCGGTTTGCGAAATACGCCTATTTTCCGATTTTTCTTTTCGCCTAGCTCAATTTTTGGAATGCTAAGTTGAACAATTGAATATTTATGTTATATAAGTGTGTGTGAATTTTCACTATATGTAGGATCTATATACGATATGTTATTTTGGTGTAATATTATATGTTATAACTCATATGTTAGATAAGATTTGATATAATTTATGAGTATAAGTATAATATAATGACTTTTTTCATATTTCCGGACCAACCCGGGCTAAAACGGTTGACCCATTAACCCGTGACCCACTAGCTCGACCTAGTCCGGGTCAACCCACATGTTGACAATCTTGCTCTGGAACCTTTTACTGTTTTCTGTCCTTTTGTGAACCGTAAGTCCCGTATCTAACATTCTACCATCATGGAGAATTCAGGAAGATTCAGTATCCACAAGTATGGGCCTGCGGGGAATTGATCAGGTCAGTAACCTTATGGTGAGTAACCATGAGTAACCCGTCCACATCAGCATGACATCAGCATCCTCTCTCTCATAGAAAGCCTTTAATTTTTCCCTCTTTAATCTTTGACGGACGATTTCTCGCTCATTTTAAGTCGAAATTTAATTTTTTTTGCACAGTTAGATCAGATTAATTGTGCTCTTCAAAATGATATCCACTTTAATATATTTTTCGAACAAAAAAAATTGAGCCATTTTTTACCAGCCTATACCATATGGTATTGACTGGTATTGAAATAAAAGCATACCTATGTTTTGAAAAACGTACCATGGTGTTATGAACAAACCAAACTGTAGGATGGTTGAATACATGATAGTAGAAGTATATTAATTGTAATTTACGACTTTTAACATTGTATACAACACAATACCACCCCGTACCAGGGTGGTATTGTATGGTATTGTGTGGTATTTTTTGGTCCTGTAATTTGTTCACCCAGAAATTTGTAGATCCAATAGATCATGATGAACTCGTCCCTTCTGTGCAAACGTTTTCAAAAACGAATTAAAAACGAAGAAGATACCATACAATAAATACCACCCCGTACCAGGGTGGTATTGTATGGTATTGTGTGATATTTTTTGGTCCTGTAATTTGTTCACCCAGAAATTTGTAGATCCAGTAGATCATGATGAACTCGTCCCTGCTGTGCAAACGTTTTCAAAAACGAATTAAAAACGAAGAAGATACCATATGGTATGCAGTTGGTACCGAGAGGCCAGAATTTTTTTTTCCTCAAAAAATATTGAAAATTGATCTCATTTTGTAGAGCACGGTGAACTCGTTCCATCTGTGCAAAAAAAATTAAAATCCGAGTTAAAACGAAAAAGATATGAGTCAATTAAGAAAGCTAGTGAAAATAAAAATAGCCTTTAATTCTCCATCCTTAGATCTGGATTTTCTAAATGAAGGGTTCAGATTTGGTTATTGATGGGTGCATAACCTATGGTTATGCACCCTATCTTGAGCCGGGCCTGCGGATGTTAACTAGTCCACCGCAAAAGTCAGCCCAACTCTAGTAAACCACACTCCAACCCAAACGTGCGGATCGAGTCGCAGATTGCAAGGGGGAAAAAATACTAAAACGGCCCATTCAGTGAATGGTAAGTTAGTAACAATGTGTACTCTTCTCGTAATATAAATAAATAAAATTAAAAAATAATAATATTTAAATAATTCATTCATAAATAATAAAGAAATATTTGACCAATACTATTATTTTTTCATAAATAACCACATCGAGTTTTTATATTCTTAAAGAAACGCAAAATGCCAGAATGCTATTGTTGTCTACACATTTAAGTAAGTATTTCTCAATGTATCCAACTAAACAATCATTAACAAACTGATTGTCGATTCGGCTTTGAAATTTTTTCTTAATATAGCTCAAAGGTGGAAATGTTATTTCTATAGTTAGAGTTGCAATGGGTAGAGTCAAAACTAGGTTCAGAAGCAATAAACTAATGAATATGACTGATGCACTTTTGTTTTCCCGTTACTTGATATAATCCATCTATTCCTCTCAATCCAACAAATCTCTCATCCATAATATTATGATAATACCAACAAGTTGTTGTCAAATAATAGTATCATGAATAGGGTAGGTTTGAAGGCGACGCCAAGGTCATTATTGATAAACTTAATAGGACGGATGCGAATGATAGCCAGATGGGAGTGATTCTTCAAGAAGTTATAAATCTTTTAGCTGTCCATCCTGGTTTTTGTGTACGGTTTATAGGTCGGAGTAACAATAGGGTAGCCCATTTGGTGGCTAGGAAAGCCCTGTCTTTGTACCCGGCTACATGCCGTTTCTTTGATTTTCAGGCCTGGCTGTCTCCCAGGATGTAACTATCGCTTTTTGATCTAATGGATTATCTTTTGTCAAAAAAAAAAATAATAATAGTATCATGAATGAAATCAAACTACTGATAATATCTATTAATACACACAACAACCTCTTCAAACAAAAACAAGTCATGCAAATCAAGAATCTAGTATTCATAGTGTGATAAAATTATATTTATGTTAGCTTTTTAAACTTGAAATGACATATAGTATAGTGGTAGAACACTCTATAACTTTGATTCTTGGTTTATTCATATATGAGTATTTTTTTATATCCACAAGTTACCCGTGTCTTGTGCACCTCTTGCCTCCACCTATGAATGATGAGAGGATGATGTTAGTGCACCTTAATCTCTAATTATTTGATCAATGGGACTGGTTTAATTCCTTCTTCTTTCAATAAATCTTTTTTTTATCACTTAGTCACTTTGTAGTTAAATATTTTATTTGGGGGAAAATTCCATGATCAATTGTTTATTCTTTTCTCCAATCACGATATTATTTTTCTAAGATAGGTTGCCTTACAATATGCATAACGCCAAAAGGAAACAAAAAACCGGGTGAGAAACCGCCCAAAATGGACTGCCATGCTCCTCAAATCCAGCCGACAGCAAGGTAACATAAAGTCCAAGTCTGCGTAGAAAACTGAACAAAATAGCTCGAAATCAACCACAACGAGATGGAAAACCACATCCCAGCATAAGCAGCCAGCGTATCCAGCAACCATCACCGCGACACCGCACCACCAATAGAGAAATCCAACTTCTAAAGTGACAATGGGGCCGTACAACCATTACAAGAAGGTCGGGAACAGTAGCATCAAACAGAAGTATGAAATCTTACACTGGTCTTCCAACAAGTGACCCTTCTGCCGACTCTCCATCTGGTAATAGCTGTGTTTTCAACGATCTGAACCAGACCTCTGCAGTGTGGCGATCAACTTTCTTGGCACTAACCAGCCACGCTACAATCTGGCATCCAATCCTGTAGCAAACAACTCTTGCCGTTGACTTTCTATCTTCAAAATTCATGTCGTTCCTTTCTTTCCAGACATTCCAACAGAGGGCATGCAGCAAAACCTCAGTGCACCAGTCAGCTGGGTTTTGTGGTGTCCATGAAATCCAATCTGCGATAACATTGGATAAATTGTCCTGTAGAGTGCTCTCAATCTTGACAAATCTTCTAATGATCTCCCACACGAGTCTGGCAAATTTGCAATTGAGGAAGAGGTGATCCACGTCTTATTCATCTGCTCGACATAGCTCACATCTGTTGACCAAACTCCATCCTCTCCTTTTCAAAGTGTCTTGCGTAGATTTGAATTTTCTTAAAAAATTTGAAGTCCAAATTAAATTAAGTAAAATATGATTATTATGAAAAGTGTGCATAACTTTGGGTTTGACAAAAAATGACACTTTTATAAAGAATAAAATGATACTTTCATTTCATCTACAAGTCCTGAATAATCCACTATAAAAAAAAAGTCCTCAATAATCCTATCATTATAAATAAGGTTAATTCCATAATTTGCCCCCTTTATCATTGCATTTTTCAAAATTGTCACTCAACTACTTTTTAAATTACAATTGTCTCCCTACTATAATCACCTACAAGGCCACAGCTGCAAATATAGGTGTCAATCGGGCGGGTTCGGATTGGGTTCAATCGGGTTCGGATTCAAACGGGTTCAGGTTCATCGGGTTGCGGGTTAATCGGGTTGCGAGTTCATCGGGTTCGGGTTCAATTGGGTTGCGGGTTCATCGAGTTGCGGGTCGGACAGGTTACGGGCAGATCGGGTTGCGGGTTGTTTGGGTCAGTGCATCGAGTAACTTACTTCTTACTCGTTATCAACTTACACATTTTATTACACTAATTTAAAATATTTTTCTCAATTTTTAACCAATTTCTTTCTACATCGTATATATACTTAATTTAAAAAAGACTAGTCAAAATGTCTAATAAATTTATATGACTTGCAAACTTGCTATGTAATTAATCGTAATTGGTAAAGTACACTACCTAATAGTAATGGCTATATCAACATTTGCAACCAAAAGACACCATTAATTGTTTATTTGGTATTTTAGTATTATTTCAGTAGTAATTGAATTAAAGTATCTCGTTTAATATAACCATGAAAATATGGTATTTGACAAAAGCAGAGTGGTAAAAGGAGTTATTTTGAAATAAGTCATTGCTCTAATAACTTCAGTAAACTGTTGCCAAACAAGTATTTTGTAAAATTGTTCGAATTACCCTAAAAATTGAACCATTGAAGATTAACTATCAAATTTAGTAAAATTGTTGTGACTTCAATCATAACTTACTCAATAACATATATCCTATACACTTAGCCTTATCTTCAATCGACAATATTAAGTTAATATATGTTGTTGATCGTATACCCTAAACCATCAATACATTATACACTAACAACATACCCTATACCCTAACCATATATCCTTATGAGTTGTAATTTTGCTAGTATAGTTAATTTAAAGTGAAATTCATTCTTTGATTTTCGAAACATAGATAAAAAAGTGATATTTGTTGTACCCTCACCATATATCCTATACTCTAAATCATATACCATGTACCCTAACCACGTACCATAAAAATAAATTAAAAACGAATCTCCTACCGTTAAAGATTTTAAATGACTTCAAGTGAACATATGTTAATAAAAAACTTAGAACAGTCAAAACCATCAATACCTTATACCCTAACCATATACACCCTAAACCATATGTACCTTATACCCTAACCATATATTTTATACGCTAAACAACGAATCGTCAAAAATTACTTATCAAGTTTAGTATGATTGTTGGCTCATATTCACCCGCCCATAAATTTTCTATTACAAAGTTCTTATCCAAACCTCCCTCTCATTTTCCATTCCAAAATGATCAGCAATCCGATTAACCAAAATTTTCAAACTCGCAACCCGACTGAGTTATTTCAATCGTAAAACTTAACAGGACAAGTTTAACACCCATTTTGAAATGAAAGTTCAACTTGAACACAACTTAAATATGCAAAATTTTACCAAGTGTTACTTTTTTAAAAAAAATTGTGATTCTTTTGATTATCAAATAAAATTTTCCTCCTTAACAGTTTCATTCTCCCGCAATTTTCTCCTGCCTCTACTCACCAATATTTTGGCTCCCCAAAATTTTGGCTCCATAGTCCTACAACTTTGCCGCTCTTACCATTTCTGTCAGAACAGAAGCGTGCAATCGATAATCCAAACCAACACGAACGAACACAAGTTTAACGTGGTTCACTAACACAATGCGTGCTAGCTAATCCACGGGCAGAGGAGAACAAATTTCACTAATTTGAGGAGATTACAGGTTACAAACCAAATTCCAAATGGACAAACCAAACAAACTAACTTGACTGACCTTACAACAGACTAGGGTGATGAAGAGTATTTATAGAACTCTTCTCCTAATCCCAAACAGAAAACCAAAACACCTTTTCCTAAACGTTCACATCATAGTTTAAAGGGTACTAAAAGCCGACTCGACTAAGCAGCTAATGGAACTTTGTATCATTACTAAGCTAAATCATTTGAGTTCTGAAACTTTTCCTCAACCGTTTTTTCTATAATCATGCATGAAATCTATTTCTTTTGTTTTATTTGTGAGCTGATGTAACCTTCTTTTAATAAGGAAGGAACTAGCTTCCTTATCTCTATACAGCTTTGTAATCTAGCTTTCAAATGAAATTTACTTAATTATAAGTTAGTGGAGTGTCATTTAGATGTTATCCTCCTTATTCTGTGTCTAGCGTTTTCTTATTTGTTGCTGCATTTTCCTACCACTTGTTTCACTAGTAAATAAATGTAGCTTAGCTTGTTGGTTAATTTCTCTCTTTCTTTCTCTGTGTTAGTTGTTGGTACTCATTCGTCTCATGTGGAATCTATGACATGCTAACCTCTTGTTCTTTCCTCTTTGTTTTACTTAGAATTTAATGCAGTGCATGCGATGCAGCAGCAGGACCTCAAGAAGATGAAGAGTAGCCGGGTCAAGTATTGCATTATTGTTGGAGTAGCAGATTGGTCATTATAGTACTGCAAGTTGCTAGAGGCAAGATGGAACTCTGATCTAGAGTGTAGATTCAAGAGTAGATGGATATTGTAGCAGTTAGGTCTAATTTTGATTTTGTTTTTCTCGGTTCAAAGCTTGCTATTGTTTTGTCTTGTTATGTGTCGATTTTGATGCTTGTTGATGGTGGTTGTGTTCATACTTCATTTTTTTGGTTTTTGGGCGATGGTGTATGTGGTTGCTTTATGTTTGTGTTTTAATCAAGATGAATGAAAGGGAGAGGGAAGAAAGAACTCATGTGTTTTAATCAATAGACCTATTAAGACCACAAATTAAAAGGTATAACATAACACATATAACCCAAAACTTCATTTTGAAAGACTAGATTATTTATATAGTAATTATTTGGGTCAATCGGGCGGGTTTGGGTTAGTCGGGTTCGGATCAATTTGGTTACGGGTTAGTTGGGTTCGGGTTCAATCGGGTTGCGGGTCATTCGAATTCGGTTTAATCGGGTTGCGGGCTAATCGGGTTGCGAGTTGATCGGGTTGCGGTCAATTGGGTTACGGGTTGGGCGGGTTACGGGTCGTTGACTTTTAGTCCGTTCGGATTACAATCGGGTTAAATGGGCGGGTTGCTCGGATCTGATTCTGTTTTGACACTTATAGCGCTGCAGAGTGCTATTAGATATCAATAAATCTAAAGCAGGCTCGTGTTGTCTGATAGAGCTGCATTTGATCTTGGAGTGGGAAGAAAGGAACGCACATCTACTTACAAGTAAAGCGGCCATTCCTTTCTTTGGTTCTCTGATCACCGTGCAACACACTTAAACATTCCATCATCAATCTAGGACGAGAAATGCAGAGCATAACGAAAAAGGGCACTTTCCAAGGAAAGGTTAAGAATCAAATACCAACCCTGAACTCCCCCTCATGTGTTTTGAACTAAAAGCTAAGAATCTCGTATCTATTTCGTCTTTCTTTCAGGGCACCTTTTTTCGATGATTCTCCAACACAAAAATGGATTTAGAGGCAGCGGGCAGGGAATCTGTCATTGTAGTTCCTTGTGGACAGGGGAGGTCTCTCATGGCGGCAAGCTCTCTTGAACAAAGAATCATTCGTATATCTCACTGAAAGGGTTAACCCTTTTCACGACACCATTTGAGTTACAAAAACAAATTGTGCCAGAGCTTATCAATCATCAGCTCGTGCCTTTTCTACAAATGGCATTCGCTCTACTGCACAATTCCCCCACCACATCACCATTGACATTTATGGGTTCCTCACCCAGCAACTCTCCAAGGCTCAAGCTCCTATTCCTCATCCTCTTCTTCCTGTGTTTTCTTTCCCCCAATGGTATGCATTTTCCTCAGATTTCTGTAGCCTTATGCTTCCTCTGTTTTATGGAGGAACCACAACTAGTGGTACATTGCATCTCACTCTTGTCTACATTTAGACCGTTTAAAGTAATGAGGTGGTTTCGTATTAACGATCTGCACCGATTCGTTCTCTTCATATTATTTTATCTTTAATAATATGTGGAATCATCATAATCTAGCTCAAACTAGTTTGTTAAATTGTAGTGTTTCATGATTGGTCCATTTATAATCTACAAAATTTATCATACGTCCCAATAATGGCCAACTTTTACAAGTTCGACCCATTTTTCTTTTAGGTCTCATGTTCTTACTGTCGTATTTCGTAGGTTTGCAATGAATAGGGAACATGGGTTTAGTTTGTCTGAAACTTAGTCGTTTTGTAATGATATGAACATACCAACTTTTGTCGATTTAATCCTTTCTTGCACATTTGTGATATGGCATTGTATAAAAATCAATTATAACAATTAATTTACATATGTAGAAATAAGTCTGATAAAAAATTATTTTTTTACCAATACTTCAAAACTTTGTTTGTCATGATATTTTGGAACACTAATAGCCATTTCATTTTGATTCTGGTTCGTACTTGTAGATTTCTCGGCCGATGCGTTTACGGGAACATACGGAGTGAACTACGGCAGGATCGCCGACAACCTACCATCGCCCCACAGCGTCGTCACCCTCCTCAAAGCCGCCAAGATCAAGAACGTCAGAATCTACGACGCCGACCACCAGGTCCTCGACGCCTTCAAAGGCTCCGGCCTCGAGCTAATCGTCGGCCTGGGAAACGAATTCCTCAAAGACATCAGCCTCGGCGAGGACCGCGCCATGAACTGGATCAAAGAAAACGTCGAGCCTTACCTCCCCGGAACCAAAATCGTGGGAATCGCCGTCGGAAACGAAATCCTCGGCGGCACGGACATCGAGCTCTGGGAAGCCTTACTCCCTTCCGTCAAAAACGTCTACGCCGCCCTCCAACGCCTCAATCTCCACAAGAAGATCGAGCTCTCAAGCCCTAATTCCGAAGCCGTCTTCGCCAATTCGTTTCCCCCTTCCGCCTGCATATTCCGACCCGACATCGCGGTGTTCATGGTTCCATTACTCCAATTCTTCTCCCAAATTGGATCCCCATTCTACATCAACGCGTACCCATTCTTAGCCTACAAGAGCGATCCAGAGCACATCGACCTCAATTACGCAATTTTCCAGCCCAATTCGGGGATCTTCGACGCGAAGACGAATCTCCACTACGACAACATGTTCGACGCCCAAGTGGATGCGGCCTACGCCGCGCTGGAGAAGGCTGGGTTCGAGAAGATGGAGGTGATCGTTTCGGAAACAGGGTGGGCTTCTCGCGGCGACGAGAACGAAGCTGGAGCCTCGTTGCAGAACGCCAAGACCTACAATCGGAACTTGAAGAAGAGGCTGGCGAAGAAGAAAGGCACGCCGTACAAGCCCAAGGAACCGGTGAGGGCTTATGTGTTTGCTCTGTTCAACGAGAATTTGAAGCCGGGGCCGACGTCGGAGAGGAATTTCGGGTTGTTCAAACCTGATGGGAGCATTTCTTATGATGTTGGGTTCACTGGGTTGAAGGATTCGTCCGGTGTTAGGATTCTTCAGGGGCTAGTTTCTAGGTGTTTATGCTCTTTGGTTCTTGCAATTGCGCTGCTGAATTCTGTTTGGTAGTGCGCATTATCAGAAATTGTGTTTGGTAACGAGTGAAATGAATGAGGTTGATTAAATATTGTAGATCAAGGCAAGGCTTCCATAATTATTGTACAGTCGATTCAGTTAATCATTGGACTTCTTTAGTAATATCTTTTGTTTACAGGTTTTTACCTTACAATTGTCCAGTTTAAGGCCACCACTCAGATAATTAAGAAGACTGTGATATAACTCGATATCTCCGGGTCAATTGATTAAGACAATAATTAGAAAAATCACACATATTAGTCATACAAGGATTTTATACGCTTAAAACTTTTATGTTTCACAATATCATCGAACTAGCTCATTTTTGTCCGTTTGGTTGATACTTTATGTACTAAAACTAATCCAACAGTCTATATAATTTGATTCAGTTCTAATCTAGGTTATTTGAGAATGAGATCGCCATAAATCTTGTATATGTCCTTGATAACTGACGAGAGAGTTTATATTGCATTATTTTACTACCACTTTAATGAAAGGCAAAATACACCTGTGTAGTCAAAATTTTCTCGGTTTGGCCAAATATAGCCACGTTTGACAAAATACCAAAAATAGTCAATTCCGTCCAATTGTTGGACGGTGTTAGTTAACGTACTGACTGGACTAACAGAAAGACTGACGTGGCAAAATTTTGTAAGTAACAATGCCACGTGGATTTAACTTTAAAATATAAAAAATAATATGAAAATAAAAAGTCTCCCTCTCTCCCTCATTTTCTCTGGTCCCATCTTCTCCCCCTTATCCCTCTTCCTTCGTGTCCTTCCCTTCGAACGTATTCCCTCTTGCCCAATGGGTCTTTCTGGGTTGGAGAGAATTACTTCTGGGTAGAGGGGTTTTTGCCTTGAATGGGTTAGATATTCGTTCTTCTTCTCCTTGTCTTCTTCTCCGCTCAATGGACGAATGGGTGAGATGTTCTTTAAGCTGGGAAAAGCACAGTGAATGGAATTTCAATTTCCCAACTATGATAGCGACCAGATCGCCAGAGAAGAAGGCAACGTAGAGATCTGTGAAGAAATTGAAGCATCTGGGCAACTATCAGATCTTGTAGGCGGCCATCCACGTGCGCGGCGGCGGCGAAGGCGTAGTCGTCGAAGCTGGGGTCGAGGGGCCAGATCCCGGTGTCGAGGGCGCCGATGATGCATCGTCGTCGTTGGCGGAGTTGAGGGAGAGTGGGGAAGAGGGGGAGAGGCCGAGGAAGGAAGGAGTGTGAGTGGTATGGAGGTGGAGGATCTGGTCAGGGATGACGGAGAGATCTCGGAGTGCGGAGGAGGCGAGAGGCTTGGTCGGCGGTCAGGGAGGCGGAGAAGCCAGCGGCGGTGTGGGGGTAGGTGTAGAGGAAGGCGGAGAGGGTATCGGAGAAAGGGGGATTTGGGCGGTGATTTGGGGGTCGGCGGATTTTGGGGGCGACAGATATTCAAGGCAGCAGCGGATTTGGGAGCGGTGATTTGGGTGGCAGCGAATTTGGGGAGCGGCGAGTTTGGGCGGCGGCTGCAATTTCCCTCCGCCGCTTGGCATCGCTGTCATTTGTAGCACGACGCCAAATTGAGATCCACAAATGAGATCGAGCTCCAACATCTTTCATGTCTTCCTGCTTCCTATCCTCAACAACTTGGGTCGTCGTCGTTCCGTAGGCTGCTTTGTAGTGGAGACTACCGACGGAAGGAAGGAATGACGGAAGAAGACGAAGTGGATGTTTTTCCACTAGTCTTTTTATTTTTATTTTTTTACATTAAAATATGACATGGCATCCATGTGGCAAGTGTTGTTGAGTTGTCAATGATGTAGCCGGTGAGTTGGCAGCCATGTAAGCATTCTGTTAATTTGATAAACAGTGTCACTAATGCCATTAAAATATGTATGGAAATGGCTATATATGTCATGAAATTTTCAAAATTCTGGTTATATTTGGTATCTTGCCAAAAGTGACTATTATTGTCACAAACGTGAAAGTTTTGGCTACACAGATGAATTTTGCCTTAATGAAATTACACACTGGTCTAGACCATTTAGACAAAATCTTCTTGAAGAAGTAATTGTTATGTTACCCATTCCAAATTATGTGGATGGGTTGGTTAAAAGTCAAAGTTTAGCATCTGATTGGCTAGTGTTCCCAAAATTCAGTGACTATTTATGTAAGTGACCCCAAAATAAGTACCGTATCACTATTTGTCGTCTTAAAATTTAAATTTTATCGTCCTAAATCGTACCAAAATGACACATACACTCATAGCCCCAATTCAAGCCTAAATCCTAGAAACAATCAATCTCTCACCTTCCGGAAACCCATGGATACACTGCAGAAGATTAAAATGATTCAATTTGTTTCTGTATGGATTAAGATTGGCTTTGGGTACGAATGAGTCTAATGGGTGGCGGATTGGTTTGGCTAGGAGTGAAGCAAAAATCGGTATTCTGTTGGTGCCAGAATTGATTTTATGGGTAGTCGATTAATGGTTGTTGGAGTTATACGAACGTACTCCCCTAATCCACACAAAGATGAAGGGGGAAATACAAGACGATCTCGCCTGAGAATGAGAGCTAGGACTTCTCTTCTTCAGACGCCGGCCAATACAAGACGATCCCAGCGGTGGTTACTTTTTTCCCGGGCAAGGAGAGGTTCAATTTTGATCGGGTAAAGGGCGTTTACTACGCCGTTATGGCCCTGCCTCACCCACATTGCAAAATCATCAATTTTTTTTGCATTCAGATATCTCATTGGCTGTAGAAGAAGACCGACGGAAGAGAGAAGCCGCCGCACCTGCCCAACCAGCCCGACTTGTAGGAGAAGAAAACCCTCAACTCAGATCTCTTTCTGTCACTACTTCCTCATTCACAGCTATGCCATCGTCTCGGCTCAAGATAGAGTGAGTAACCTTAGGGTGAGTAACAATGAGTAACCAAATCTGGACCCTTATTTTAAGTGATTGCAGATCTAAGGGTGGAGAATTAAAGGAATTTATTTTCCCTAGTTTTCTTAATTGGATAATATCTTCTTCATTCTAACTCGGATTTTAATTTTTTTGCACAGATGGAACGAGTTCGTTGTGCTCTACAAAATGATATCCATTTTCAATATTTTTTGAGAAAAAAAAAATTTCATCCCTCTCGTTACCAACTCCATACCGTATGGTATCTCCTTCGTTGTTTAGTCATTTTCGGAAACTTTTGCACAAAAGGAACGATTTAATCATGATCTATTGGATTTCAAAATTTTCTAGGGGAAAAAATTTCAAACCTCTCGTTACCAACTCCATACCATACTATACCACCCTGGCATGAGGTGGTATTTTTCATACCATATGGTATGTTGTTATTTAATACCATATGGTATTGACTGGTATTAAATAACAACATATGGTATTGACTGGTATTTTTCATACCATATGGTATGTTGTTATTTAATACCAGTCAATACCATATGATATAGTCAATACCATATGGTATAGACTGGTAATAACTGACAAATTTTTTTTGTTCCAAAAAATATCAAAGTGGATATCATTTTGAAGAGCACAATTAATTTGATCTAACTGTGCATAAAAAAAAAATCCGAGTTAAAACGAGTGAGAAATCGTCCGTTAAAGATTAAGGGAAAGAAAATTAATGGTCTTTCGAGGAGAGAAGGAGACGCTGATGTGGCAGATTTTTATTGAGTTATGCATGGGTTACTCACCACAAGATTACTTACTTGATCTTCTTCTCATCGTCTCCCGATTCCTCCTTCCATACAACGTGAAGGGTGTTTGGATCGTTAGGGATTTGGGCCCAAAGGTAAACGTAATTAGGTAGTGGGAATTGAAGCTCCAGAGGTACACCGTTAATTAGAAGACGAAATTGAAGCCCAGACCAACGTCAGATTTAGGCTGGATCTCCTGCTTGCCCACATCTTCATTCTCCTCTGAATCTCTAGGTCGAAGATGGTCCTCGTGAACAGTTCCATCTTGTCAAAAAAATAGATCGAGAGAGGGATCGAGTGGTTCTGATGCTGGTGTGTGCGTCGGTGGTTTCGGGATCCGCCTCTTCCTCTTTCGCTCTCTTCTCATTGTTTGAAACGTCGGGGTGAGGTCATCGTAAACTGTAGATTGGGGAGGATCAAGCAGAAAATTGAGAGGGTTGTAAACTGTAGTGATGAGTTTGGTTGATAGAAATTACATGATTTCATTTGTCCATTATAATATCTAGTTTTATTTTTCAAAAGGTTTAATTCACTTGCATAGTCATAACTATGCACGTTTTGACAATAATAGTCACTTTTCAAAAAATACACAATTGTAGCCACATCTTAGAAACTTGGTTGCCAAAATTAGCCATTTCCGTCAAAAACTTTAACACCGTTAACAAGACGCTGATGTGGCTATCACCTTAGCTCCCACATCAGCTCCAACACACCAAATCAAGCCACATCATATTTTTAAATAAAAAAATATTTTAATTTTCATAAACAACAATCCCAAACCCCATCCTCCCTGGAGCTCCAAACTTCTCCGTTAATCGGATCTAGGTTTTCCGATGGGTATGTTGGGTAAAGGCGCTCGATTCATCTAGAGAGTACTGAATTGTCGAAATTCGTTCGAGTTCTTCAGATTTGGTTATCCCTTCCCAAACCCTCCTCATTTTCAAATCTCTATTAGCTAGGCCCTCAATTGAATCGAAGTGGAGGAGACGACGATGGTGGTGATTGGTTTCAGAATCGATTACGGTGGTGGTGGTGGTGGTGGTGATGGGTTGGGAGGAACGAAAGACAGGGGTTCGGGGGATGGAAGAGAGAAGGGGACGAAATAGGAGCAAGTTGTCACCAGAGCTCCTGCTCGTGCTCCAACTCCATCGCGCTCACTCTTTGTAGGCCTCCACCTCGAACAACTTCATAAATCAGAGTCGATTCTTGACAAATCGAAGATGCGACACCACCATCAACAACTCACCTTCTCGTCGATTTCACCTGCTTCAACCTCTTCCGGCGATGGAGTCTTCCTAGTGGAGGTGAGCTTCGATTTGCCGTTGATAGAATGGATTCTGAGAGCTTCAATTTGTGTGGCGTTTGCAACTCAGACGATGGCCGCAAGAAGGGGAGAGAGATGGGAGAGAGAACCTTGGTCTAGGGTTCTGTACTTTTGTCCCTCCCGTCAGCTTTAGTCTCGCACACTCGATACGACGCCCGACGAAGGTTTTTCTACATTGATCTCTTCGACTTTCCCCTAGGTTCTGACGGTGGGGTTCTAGGCTGCGTAGAAGCCCAGCTATAGGAGAAGATGAAGAAGGAGATGAAGAGAGATGACATGGGCCAAAGATGACTAACGAATCTTTTCATTTCCTTTTTATATTTAAATTTTAGTTTATTTCTCATATAATTAAAATACAAAATCAACATTCAACCTACGATGCCCGACTAAGGTTTTTCTATATTGATCTCTTCGACTTTCCCCTAGGTTCTGACGGTGGGGTTCTAGGCTGCGTAGAATCCCAGCTATAGGAGAAGATGAAGAAGGAGATGAAGAGAGATGACATGGGCCAAAGATGACTAACGAATTTTTTTCATTTCCTTTTTATATTTAAATTTTAGTTTATTTCTCATATAATTAAAATACAAAGTCAACATTCCACCTAGCAGTTGGTTTGACAAAAAGTCTCCACATCACCATAAACGTTTGTCTAGTCAGCATTTGTCAATGTACTGTTAAAGTTTTGGACGGAATGGCTACAACTGTGTATTTTTCAAAAAGTGACTATTATTGTCAAAAATGCGAAAGTTATGGCTACGAAGGTGAATTAAACCTTTTCAGGAAAAAGAACTTGTTTTGTAAAATAAAATTATACATGTGGCATAGTGAAATGTTTGACTTTGCCACATTAGTAAAAGAACATCTAGCTCACTTAATTTTTGCCATGTCAGAATCAATTAACGGTCAAACAAATAAAAAGTTGACGATATAAGAATTTAATTATTTTCTAAAAAATTTGGCTATTATATTGTTTAAAACGCAAATATTTGATTATTAAATTGTATAATTGTATTAGAAAAACAACCTTTTTTCTGGTTCTTCATCCATTTCCTCCATTCCACACATAGCCAAACACGCACTCTCTATTCTCAGCTTGCAGGAGGAAAGAACACGGGGGACGATGAGCAACGCACAGACCAAGCCCTTGCATTCTTGAGAGACCCATTTCCGTCAATCGAACTCTCTCTCGATCTCTTCCTCTCTCCATCAATGGCGGCCGCAGCCACAACGCTCTATCTACTTCCTTCCCTCAGCCGCCCTTCGCCCGCGTCTTGTTCTACTGCTTCTTCTCCGCCATTCCTTGTGCATTTATCGTCTCGCAATAGCTTCGGTTCCGCAACTTTGAATTGCTCATTCCCTCGTGCTCTCAAGTTCAAGCGCGAAAAGGCTCCTTCCCATCGTTACGGCCCAGTGGTTCGTGCAGCTTCTGGCGATTACTATTCCACTCTCGGCGTTCCCAAGTCCGCTTCGATTAAAGATATCAAAGCAGCTTATCGGAAATTAGCTCGCCAGGTAGCCATTTCTTTCCACCTTACTAGCCTGTTTTGCTCAATCGTCCAATTTGATTATGTAGGTTTTTGGAATATCTTGTTTATTTGACTGCGATTACCTATTAATACTTCATAGCTTCCTGGGGAACTGTGTGTTAGGAAGCAATTGTTTATTGGTTTAGTGGAGAATCTGCTTTTATAGAATTGAAGAGATGAAAGGGAGTGAAATGCTAGGGTTCTAGTTGTTATGCAATTGTTGCATACCGAGTTCACATTTGAGCTACACCTAAAAGAACTGTTAATAAGGTGCATAACTTGCTTAGAGTCTAGAGAGGTTGTAGATCCTCATCTATAACTCCATCAAGTAAAAAATCTGTCAAAATAGTTCGAAATCACGGGTTACTTGCACCACTGATCTTTTGAAATATTTCTCTTTGCTTAGTGATGTCTTCCTGTTAAATTAACGGAGTTTGTGGAGAAAACTTCGCTTAGGGGCCCTCTCGTGCAGCATGCGTAAGCAAGTGGAGTACCTTTTTGGGTTACTTATGCATTGGCAACTCTTGCCAATCTATATTAATTTCGGTAACTTGATTTATGATGTGGCTGGATCCTGTTAAAGTTACTGAAACTTTTCATTTGCTGCTATGGAATCTGTTTTCCTTTTTGCAATCAGTCTATCTTGAATTTCATACTTTGTTCTCTTGATTTCAGTATCATCCTGATGTTAACAAGGAGCCAGGGGCAACTGAGAAATTTAAGGAGATTAGTGCAGCATATGAGGTATGCATAACCATTCTGGCCTAACATCTATATTTTTAGCTGTGTAGCTTTATGGAAACTGGGTAGGCTGTCTGTATAGAATCTATCTCTCCTAGTGCTTAAATGTGGGCTCAATGCAGCGTGTTCTGTTAATTGATGGGGCTGGGCATTGCTCTTATGTTCATTGTCTACTTTTGTACAACTATTCGTTCTTTTGTCTATTTTTTGGGACCTCACTGCGTTTGGCCTACTTTTCCTTCATTGAGTTTTCTGGTAAAGTTTCTGAAACTTAAATTTCATAGTTACCAGATTGTGTCAGGACGATCTTGCCTTCAGTCCCATTTTTTATAATATAGGTCGTAACTTGTAAGTATGATTAGTTATTGAAGAAAGAGATGCAACTGTGACTCTGATGGACTCCAATAAAAATCATGTTGCCTAGTTATAGTTTCAAATAAACTCTGGACTTCTGGGGTTGTAATGCTCTCTGGGAAAGTCTTCTTGGTAGGTTGTAGTGTTGTGCCTTATTTGGCTTGAATGGACAAGTAACACTGGTTATGCAAAGCCTAGCTAGTAATTTTCTCTTGTTGCACTCAGCATTATTTCTGATTTCTGTATTCTCCGTGTGCATTTTAATCTACTTGGGATTTTGTATTTATGGGGAATTCTTTTAATTTCTGAAGTGCAACACTGTCAGGTGCTATCAGATGATAAAATGAGGGCCAGATATGATCAGTTTGGTGAAGCTGGAGTGAAGAGTACAGTTGGTGGCCAGTCAGATGCATATACGGTAGTGGCTATTTGTTAACCTCTGCTCTGATGCTTCCATGTTAATGTTGGTGCAAATGTTGGCATTAAGGGGGCAATGCAAATAGAATCGCCATTTATGTTTCTTGTTGGATCTAGTAGCCAGGGTTGGTGTAAATATTCGCCATTGGCCATTATGGACTTAGTAACTCTTTTGTAGTTGTTATTGATTTGCAGCTCTATATGTAAATAAATATATAAATAGACACTGGTGTGTTTTCTTTCCAGGTTTTATAATTTGAACAAAATATTTTCTTTCTGCAGGTTAATCCTTTTGATCTCTTTGAGACGTTCTTTGGGCCGAATATGGGTGGCTTTTCCAGTATGGACCAAACCGGCTTCAGGACAAAACGTCGCAGTACAGTAATTAAGGGCGAAGATATAAGGTGCGTTAGTTGTTTAGAAATATGAGTTAGCCTGCCATCTTAAAGTTTTGCAAGTTTTTTTCGTTTGTTTTTTTTTCTTCAATATTTTTGAATAATGTTACATTGTTTTGGCTTACTGAAGCACTTATGTTGTCTGTATCCAATTCCATAGTTTACTATGTGCACTTATGGTGCTATGCTTCTCTCACTGTGATTGAAGCGTCACTATTTGTGCATATTTGGTTACTGTTACAATAGACAAATAAAAAGTTTCCGTAAGTGTTATAGATATTGTTGCAAGTGAAGAAGTTATTGAAGAACAAGCACATGATTGGAGGTATTTTTTGTTCTGAACAAGGCCTTTTCACAACATTACCCATTTACAAAACATGGTAAATGGGTACAATTGCCTCTGCTCCTGGCTAACATTTGATTTGTATGGATCTGAGCAATAGTGCATGGTTCATTGGAGCATACGCTGTTCCTGACCTAAATAAGTTGGTACTGGAAAATACTTCTTTATTTATTTGCATCTGATGGTTCCAGTGGCTGAGAAATGATAAGTGCTCTTTTGACACCTGAAGTGCTACAGAATCGCCATTGGTTTCTTACTCTGTCTCCATTTTAATTTTGCTTCAGGTATGACATTGCTTTAGAATTTTCCGAGGCTATCTTTGGAGCTGAGAAAGAATTTGAGCTATCTCATCTGGAAACATGTGAAGCTTGTACTGGCACAGGAGCCAAAATAGGGTCCAAGATGAGGGTCTGCTCAACTTGTGGTGGAAGAGGTCAAGTTATGAAAACTGAACAAACCCCCTTTGGCATGTTCTCACAGGTAACGAGACACTTTCCCCTTTCTGTACTCTTTAAGTGCTGTTAGTGCCTACTAATTTCTTCGTTATTGATGAAACATTAGGTTTCTGTCTGTCCTAACTGTGGTGGGGAAGGTGAGGTCATCTCTGAATATTGTCGAAAATGCTCCGGAGAAGGGCGTATACGTACTAAGAAAGGTATCAAGGTTAAAGTACCTCCTGGAGTTGCCTCGGGTAGTATTCTCAGAGTTGTTGGAGAAGGAGATGCTGGACCTAGAGGGTATGTCTATACATCTTGAATATTGTAAGCGATTATCTTTTTCTTTTTGGTATTCAGTAAATATTGGCCTCTTGTTGACTTGGATGAAGATAATACGTCTTGATTTGTTATCTATATGTACTCTTCAGTTATTAAATGTCCACTTTGCACTTATAATGTCATAGTAGAGACACTGTAACGTTGATGATGTCTGCAGATTTACTTGAACTCTTAGATTCACAAAACGCATCAGCATAATGAAAACATGATTCATAAAAAGCCAAGGAAATAACCTAACTGACTGACCAAAGAATTGTACTTAATGCATAATTCAGATTGGAGTTAACTGGAATGCAAATTTGAGTTACGTCTCTCTGCCTACTTATTTCTATGTCTACTGTCATCAACATCTCATTGCCTGCTTATTCCTAGTCTATGTCTACCGTCCGCAACATCTCATTTAAGATATGGATAGTTTTCTGAGATACTATAAACTTCTGTAACTTGTTATTGCTAACGACTCATCCTGATGTGCCCTTTGGTTATGATAAATAGATGCCTCTTGCAAGGAGCAAATGATCTTAGTATCCATGCTTAAGCAATAACACTGGCCCTGAATTTAAGAAGCCAACATTATGGCAATCCCACATCAGAGAGTTCTATCACTCTCACAGAGTAAACATTTCTAATGCAGGCCTGAGTTATGAGTTTAGGTACACGGTAATGAGTTTCAATTGAAGTTAACCCTTGGGCTTATGTGATGGTTTAAAAGATATGTGCATGTGGTAAATTCTTAGAGGCAGCTACTTGAAATTTTGATGAGGTTCATCCTTTTCCTGAAGAACATGCAAAGCTGTTTACATATGATGTTTGATGATCAATGCCACTTCATTGAAGTTTTTGAAACATTGTACATAAGATGGTTATGAAAACATTGAATGTATTTTTTTCTGATCCGAAATGAAGAGACTAGTGTAGTCATTTGAGTGCACTACGTATTGCTGGAGTTTATATTTCTTACAATGATCCAAATTGATTATTAATTTGTCCTATGCAGTGGCCCCCCAGGAGATCTATATGTCTATCTCAATGTTGAAGAGATAACTGGAATTCAAAGAGATGGAATAACTCTGAGATCAACCATATCTATCAGCTATGTTGATGCGATTCTTGGAACTGTTGTCAAGGTCAGGCTCTTTCTTCAGCAGTTTTGCTGCTTCTTGGTTTCTTCTAAATTCTTGATTCTTCTTTTTGGGAAGTCATATTCATCCAATTTTTGGCAAAAAAAAAAAAAAAAAGTTGTGCAGGTTGGGTTTTCCATCATTTTCAGAAGTTCAGAGAAATTTTTTAATTGATAAAATATAACGGGAGGTTCAGACTTAGCGTGGATGCTGATGTTTTGCCTTATTTATTGTCATTAAAGTTGAAATATTTTCTAATGTTGTTTAGATTCATTTGTTTTTAGTGGAACCAAAGCTGTATCTTGCATAAGCTAGAACAATTGTATGGCAATGTGAACAGGTGAATACAGTGGATGGAGAAAGTGAATTGAAAATTCCTGCTGGTACTCAACCTGGGGATGTACTAGTCCTGTCCAAGAAAGGTGCACCAAAATTGAATAAACCATCTATACGTGGCGATCACTTGTTTACAGTTAAAGTCACCATACCAAAAAGAATAAGGTACGAATCCGTCTTCGACATTTTCTTTCGAACTATTTTTCCCATTATATATATTTTATTATGCTATCAGAAACTCGAAGTATTAATATATTGGCTGGCTTGCGTTTGTAGTGGGCAAGAGCGTGAATTACTTGAGGAACTAGCTTCTCTGAGCAATACTAGTGCAGCTAGATCATCAACCAGGCCCAAACCTCAGATTTCCAGTAAGCTGCTGTTACTCGGTGGATGATATGTTATCCTTTTTCCAGATAATACTGTTTCTCATGTTCAACCTATCCCGGTTCACTAGAAATCGAGTCAGTAGGCATACCCTCGTTTGATAAGAGGATGAAATTTTGGTTAAATCATGCTGCAATGACATTTGCATTCTTGTACCCAGCTCCAATCCCAGAGAATCATGCAATGTAATGGTAATTATGTTCTTGATGCAACAGAAAATGACGACGGAACAGTGGCAGGAACAACTGAGGAAGGAGGAGAGCAAAGTGACGTTTGGAAGCAGTTAAAAGATTTAGCAGGGTAAATGCCCATTTTTGTTTCCTTCCCCTTTTGTTCAGGACCTTTGATTGCTTGTGTTTTACTTTTACTGGCCATAGCAAAATTCTCGGAAAGACTGTCGGGCGACGTTATGGAATCTGCTATCGTTTTGCAGGGCTGCTGTCAATGGCGCTATGAAATGGCTGAAGGACAACCTGTAGGAACAACTTCTTCCATCACTTGGGGCATTCCGGCTATTTTTTCCCCATTTCTAGCTAGCAATACATTTTAGAATGTGCCCTTGGATGGAGTATTTGGTGGTTAACTTGGCAGCAATTGTGCTTAGAATTGAGATAGCAGAACTGAGAATCCAAATCCCTATATAAGAAAAAAAAAATTCTTTTGTCTGTTACTATTTTCTTTTCTTTCTGTGCTCTTGTAATTCGGTTTCTGCTCATTTCGTGGCATTATACTTTATACGATGTCAATACTGCTAAACATTACTGCTCATTGATGCGTTGCCATAGTGACGAGATTTACAATTTTTTGCCCTTTCTATTTGGTAATTGATGGCTCCCAAAAAAATTCTGCAAAACACGTTCGTTTGCTAATTAATGTATTTATAATTCGAGGATAATTAGGTTTATCTCCCTCCAATTCAATTCATGAGCTTGGTTCACACAAGTAACAGTGGTTGCTCGACCAAAATGCGGGTTTTGGATATTTTTTGGTAAAAATGAAAAATAAAATAAAAGGAGAAACAGAGCGGGGAAAATATCTGCGATAGTTATCGCTCGTGGAAGTTGGAATAGCAGACGGAGGCAGCTGCTGGTTAATTCCGAAAAATGACGACACTCGCAACTCCAGCTTGCCTTGCGTTATCCGAAGTAGTGGTGGGAGCGAGAACCAGCGGCCGCCGCTGCCAGGAAATCAAGGTTGGTTTTCCACTGCGGCGATCAGGGACGTCACCCCGTCGATTACGAATGCTCTGCCGCCGTGGTGGTGGTGAGCCTGAAGCCACCAACGATTCTGCTTCTGGTTCGTCGAAGGTCGGTTTAACTTTGCATTTGTGTTACAATTGAAGTCCGGAAGGGCATTGGTAGATGGTAATTGAAACATGGGGCGGTGGGTTGATGCATTTCAGATGGAAAGGAAGGAGGTGGACGGCGGCGATGATTTGGGGTATCTGTTCAAACTTGGAGTAGGTACTTTCGCCGGAGCTGCTGCAATCAAATACGGAAGCGTGGTGTTCCCGGAGATTACAAGGCCCAACCTCACTCAAGCTTTGCTTATGATCTCACTTCCAGTCGTCGTAGCCAGTCTCCTGCTTTTCATCAATCAAGACCCCTCCGACGACAACTGACTAATTCCGACGGAAGCAATGCTGCGGTGTAAACTTTGTAACTTCATGAGATAATAAATAAAATGTCGATTTTGAAATCCCCTTATTGATCTCCTCCTGTTCCTGTTGTGAATGAAGATTCAGACTTCTAACCATTTATAAGATCAGTTCAGTCGTAGAATTGTGCTAAGTTTGTACAACATGACAACCAACGTATCTAAGGCGCCCGCTTCGACGCTCCCTTGTTTGCTACGATGAGCATTTGTCATTCACTTATCCAGGATCTTGCTTAATGCGGTTCGTCCTTTGGGGGTTTCCTCCTCTGAAGCATCGAACTCACTGCTGTCCATACCAGCACTAGCATTTAGAGCACAGCGGATCACTGAATTCACCTCCATTTTCGATCTAGCATAGTTAATGAACGTTTCTGCAAGCATCTTCCTCAGTTTCTTGTCAGTTGCACTTGCATCTTCACCAACACCTCCATCCCCGTTTACGTTTAGCACCGGTGCTGATGTTCCTGCTTCATCTACCAGCAGCTGCGCCTGTTAAGAAAGAAGAATGCAGCAATGATGAAAAGTTAGCTCATCATACAGATAGAAGATGGTCTATTTCATAAGGTTAATAGGAAATGAGGTCATACACCCAATTGTTATGCTCTATGACCCAAGTATCACATTGATCACCGACTATCATATGAATGGGAATTATCAATGAACTTGAATTAGATTGGAAAATTATCAATGAGCTAATTACAACAGGAAATAGAAATCCTTCCTTTCTACGTTATAAATCAGACAATTCAAGTGTCACCTCTGCGAGAAGGAGGCCTATTCGACTGTCGGAGGTTTCCAGCAGATCAATGGCATCAGAGGGCGAGGAGGATGAGTCCACGATTATCTTGTTCTTCTCTCCAATGAGGAAGTTGACACTACATTGTTGAAGCCTGTCACAAAGGATTTCACATTCATGCAGCAACTTCACATTGGCAGTTGTCACCTTCGCCTTCTCTTCCCTTTCCTTAAGAAGAGCACTCTGCCAAGGAAAACCAAGAACGCCTCATTGGATACTGCAATATTGCAAATGATTACGCCCCATTACATCGAAGATCCATCCAACCAAGTGAATTCCATTTGTATATACACAAATTTAAAATTCAGAGAAGTGCCAAGACACCGAGTTTTTATTGGCAATCACCTAGATGTCGGTTAAAAATATGTGGCATTAACATTCTATTTTTAGTCATGGCTGCTGAATCTTTTGAAGGGTATGATTGGTTTCAGAACATTTGTCATGCCTAAAGTCTAGAACAGTATAAGTAGAGCTTCATAGCGAATGAACTAAACTAACAGGACGAGGTCAATGAGTGAAGTCCAAGTTAAACTTTTAGATCTTACACTGAATAGAGAAAAGCCGAAATGAGAAATTTACCTCTAGGTCCTCTTTTTCCTTCATCAAGCAGGTAAGCTCCTGTCTGAGTTCAGAATTAGAACCTCTAAGAGACTTTACTTCTTTTACAAGAAGCTTTACCTCTGATTTTGACTTCAGCTCTACCTCTTCTAGTTGTTTACACATATTTTCAAGCTCTTCTTTTGCAGTACCAAACTGTTTCAGCAACGTTTCGTTCTCCTTAATTAGTGAATTTTTCAGAGACTCCTCATGTTCCCTCTGAGCCTGTAAAATATGTGCATACCCATCAGAATTTCAAAATAATGTCTAAATTTCATAGCATGGATCATAAGAAACTTCCCGGAAATATGAACCTGTTCAAACTCCAAGTTCATTTCCTTCTCAAAATATCTGTTCTGTAGTTCTTCAATATCCCACTGCATTTGAGTGAATCTTTCTCTTTCCTTCAAAGCAGCTTGCTGCATGTTCTCTTTGCAGCTATCTTTAGTGGTCTCAAGATCTGCTTCCAAATCCTTCACCTACTGGAGAAAATAACTAAGTTAGTGCTCTGATGATTGCCCCCATTTCATGTGTTAGTCTTCTTGGAAAATAAGCACAGGGCAAAGCTAGCTTATGGTTAGCATGTTTAACAAAATAACATGACAACATTTTAGTTGTTTCAGTGGATCATTTTCCCAATTTTACTAATAATATGAATGTGCTAGCCCTAGCAAACTAATATATAATCTCAGTCAGTCGAAACTGAGGCTTGTAATGTAAGATGAAGAATGAACAAGCCGATTATAAAGCATTATAGTTAGATGACTCTTACGACAAAGTACTGTTTTCATAAGACAAGCAAAGTGGCTTAAGCTGGGAAGAGTGAGTGTCAACACGAGGCTTACTCTCATCATTAAAAATTGCTTCACAGCAACTTCCTTGTTGAACCTTCCCATAAGATCTTCAATGTCGGTTTTCGCTATAGCTACTCTCTGCACCACCTTATCAAGAACCCTCTTCAAATTTTGACGCTCATAGGAGGGAAGAGCAACTAGCAAGGCATCTTGGAGCCTCACATTTGAGCTGTCAGTAACATCAGTGATTTCAGCTCCTTCGAGGAAATCATCTTCACCATTATCCACAACCAAATTTGATATTTCACTTGCATCGACAGAAGTTGACTCTCTCAATGATCTTTCAACGAAATGCCTATACACATTAAAATCAGGCTTATGATTCTCAAATTGAACCAAAGATGTTATTCCACTGCCAAGGACAGCTTTATCTTCAGATGTCCTGTTGCCATTGTTATCACTTCCCTCTCTTGTTGCTTCACCACCGGATATTTCCTCCGTTAAATCATTGCAATAATCTGATGCAATGAATGAACTGTTGGAAGGTACATAAAGATCTTCGCCGATTTGGGACAAAATTGGAGGAGCCACATCACTTACAGAAGAATTTGAATCTTCATGCACTCCATCAAAAACTGGAAAGTTAAAAAATATAGTTTTGAAAACCTTGTCTTCATTAACACAGAGCAACTGTCTCGATTTGATGTCCACCAAATGCAATCCCAAGTTCAGAAGTACTTACATGACCTTACACTTGCTTCGAGCTCAAGAAAGATCCCCACAGCAGCGCTTCTAGAGACATATATGTCCGACAATAGTTGCTCAATCCAATTCTCAAGAGAGCACCTTCGCTGAAAAAAATTGAATGTTTCGAGAGAAGAATATCAGAATTATGGCACATTTGACAAGCAAGATGGTAAAACTCTAGTCCTATCCCTTCGTTGGCTTGCTTTATACTAATCCCAAGGAACCATCCAATTTTCCGAGTAGTGAAATAATAGCAACTAAACAGGGCACTGATATGAGAATTTTCAGAACATCAAGTATATAGAAAAATAAGATGGCATCTACCTCTTCTAGCAATGTCTTGCTTTGAACTTTCAAAATCCTCTTAGGTGGAGCTGGAGGCATCTTCCTCAAGGGAAATTCTTTTTGCAGCTTCAATAGACAGTGGAAAGAGTGAGCTTATCTTACACAGATTAAAAATATAAGAAGGCAAGCTGGCCCGTGATAGCAATTTCGAATCAAAAGATATCCGAACTTTGAAAAGGGAATTGATGCCTCACATCAGATTGCAGTTTCAAGAAATCGCTAAATCTTCGCAATATCTCTCTAGTGGTGGCACTGGCAGCCACATTAGGTGATTGCAGACCAACTTGAACCCTATAGAACTGTCCATGATTAAAGGCAAAAGATCTAGTCACTAAATGAGGAGAAATCACTAAAAAAACTCACAAGAAAATTCAGTAGATACAAGATCAAGAGAATGGCAGCAGAAGGATTCACCAAGACTCAAGTCTATCCCAAGTTTTTACTATTCTTCTCTACAACAAATTCATCCTCTTAGAACGAATACTCCTGTACTTACACAAACCTGGGAAAGAGAAGATCATACAATAAGTTAAAGGCAGAGGAAAACACATACCGTCGTGGGATTTGAACCTGATGAATTTGTCATTAGAGTCCAAGAAGGGATTGTAACCCAGTAACTCCATCCTTTTCGGGTATCCTCTGGCCAAACTGTACTCTGTCCATCCAACATCGAAAGGCTATGAACATTTCAGAACAAGTTAATCAAGTCGAAGTTCTGAGAAATAAACTGATACGCCATAGTAAACAGAAGGTCAAAATTCTGTAGCAAAAGGCAAACAACAGCTGGTAATAACTTCCCCAAAAGCAAGTGTAACAAAGACGAAACAATTAAAAGCTCTATTCGGCAAGAACTCGGTCAATTAATTGAACTTCGCTGATTCAGGGTACCTCCCAATTTCAATCAAGTCATTCCAGAATCTAGTTCAGTTCCGTGCCCGTCAATTTAAACGGAACCGCAGCCGGCGTACCTGTACAGGATGCTGAGGATGTGGGGTCCAGTCCATCCCCAGCGGCAGCGGTGAAGTCCCGTCGTAACGATGCGGCGGAGGGGTTTGATGGGCGTCAGTGGCAGTGGTGTCATGGCGCGGCGATGGAGCTGAAGAGGCTGATGATGACCAAGAGGAAGGAGAAGGGTTGAGATGGGAAAGGGAGAAGCGATCGAGGAATGGATCGGAAAAGTCGCCGGAGTCGAGTAGAGAGAGGTCGTGAATGTAAAGATTCATTTCTCCGGACCTAGGCTGCTGGAGAATTGTGCCGGCAGTCTCGACAAATTATTATTCTTCGGTTCACTTCGGCAACGGCAGTTAGTGCGGGGAAGAAGGACACATAGGCGAACTATAAAAGCTGCTACCGCCTACCGGTCTCCTCGTCCCGCTGCTCCGCAATTTCTTTCCTTTACGGCTTTTACCCCTGAAGTTATATAACCTTACTATTCGAACCCTCAAACTCTAAAACGTTTTCCATGCGAATCTCAAGCACTCAAATTTTTTATAGGCAAAATACACTTGTGTAGCCAAAACTTTCACGTTTGTGCCACTTATAGTCACTTTTGGCGAAATACCACTTATAGTTACTTCCGTCCAATTCTTTAACGCTGTCAACTAAGGGCCCGTTTAGTATCATTTTGTTGCTGTTGTGGTTGCAGTGGTGTTGTGTAAACAGATGTACAACCACAACAGGAAAAAAACAGAAAACACAAACCTGTTTAGTTGATAAATCTAAAAAATCATGAAAGCTGACAACAAGAAACAAAAACGCGTTTAGTTACTACTATAAGAACTAAAAACCAGAAAAAGAGATATGTCCGCAATATTAAGCAAAGTCCAACCGAAATTCACTGACCATCTACAATTTGTCCAACCGAAATTCATAGAACATTCAATACAAGAGCAAGTAAAATTAGAGCACACTTCTTAATGACAGGGAACCCAATACACCGGAAGACTAAACCTGAGCTGCAACTGTGTGTGCTGGGAGGACGTCGGCGGGCTGGGCGGCGGCGGCGCTTTGCGGAGGCGAGGCGGCGTGGGCTGCGGCGGCCGTAGGCGGAGCGGCGTTGGGCGGAGGCAGAGGGGTCGCGCCGCGCGGAGGCTGGGAGAAGAAGATGGGTGTCGGCTCTGTTTTGTCGAGAAGAAGAAGATGGAAAAGGGGCGGTTGTGTTATGTCGAGAAGAAGAAGAAGATGAAAAAGGGGAAGTAGGGTTTTTTTGGGGTGCGGCTGTGTTAAAAAAAAAAGAAATTTTTTTGCTTCTGTGGGGATTCGAAAACTGGTCTGTTTTAATGAAATCAAGACCCCAACCAGTAGGAATCCCTTGTGCTATAAATTGTTGTTTCTCATATTTGGACCTTGTTGTGCAACTCTGATTCACAACAAAAAATAAAAACCCAACTAAACACGTTTTTTTTTCTTGGTTTGCCAAATTTCTTAAAACACAACAGGAAACAAAAACAAGCAACAATACTAAACGGGCCCTAACATGTTGATTGGACTAACGGAAAGGCTGATGTGGCGACACATGTGGAATTAACCAAAAAAGAAAAAATAAAATAAAATTGTAATTTCTTTAAACAAAAATAGTCAAAACAAATTCTCTCCTTCCATCACAAACTCTCCCTTGCGTAAAACAAAAGAACATTCCCAATTCCATTGGCAACCTCCTCCATCCCCAATTCAATCCCAAACCAATTGGTAACCTCCGCGCAATGCGCATTGGCCGACTTCTACTGCTGGTGGTGGAGATTCAACGGAGATTTAGAGGCTGGTGGAGTTTCTCCCCTTTTCCATCTCATATTCATTGAGTTGCAAAGACAGATCTGGCTGAAAGCTGCGAAGAATGCTACGATGAAGTGCTGAGCTCGGGGCTCGCTCAGGCGAAGAAGGAGTGCAACGAGCTTATTGCCTTGGACGGATTACATCAAGGTCGGGTAGGAGCATAAGCCCAGATCGGATTTGAAAAACCCCCAAATTCAAGAACCCTAGTTCTTCGAGTTCGCTTCCAGTTTCACTAGATTCTCGAACTCAGGCCTGGGAAAGGAAGATGCTGATCATTGACGACAATAGGAGGGAGTTGGTAACGGTGGTACCCGACTCTAACCACTGAAAACGACCGGCATGAGCTTGTCGGCGGGAGCTGATGTAGGCGCGACCCGCCGCTGCCGTCGAAGCATCTCCGTCTTGAGGAGGCAGATCCAGAACGCCCCTCACCAGAGCCTCTAACCCCGAATTGTACATCCAAACCATGGATTCATATCCTCATAGCACCTGTCCACGAGAGCGCCGGGAAGCAGGACCTTGGCCGGGACTCAACCGACGAGGCCGAGGGAGAGGATGACGATTTGGCGGGTGCCCAGCCTGTATATTCAGGAGACTTGTTTGTGGGTTGTCTTCGGAGAGAAGAAAATTAGTCTTTTTGATTTTGTTCGTTGATGAAGAAGAGAAAATCAAAGAGAATGAGAGAAAATGATGCATGTGCCGGCGGTTTCGAAGATGGGAAAGTGAAGAGGCGGTGGTGAGGCATAAGATTATTGTATTTATTTTTTATAATTATTTATTTATTAATTTATGATGTGTAAATATTAAATAATAGAAATATCTGACGTGTCAATATTTAATTATTTAGCGCTGATGTGTCCGCAGAGTTGGCGTCTAGTCAGCAAACCGTCAAATAAGTTAACAGTTTTATCAACACCGTTAAAGTTTGTAAGAGCATCTCCATCAACGCAATTGCAAAAGAAATTGTAATTTTTATTTTTTTTGCCAACTCAAGAATTACATAATCCAACTCATTTCAATTTAATTGTACCTACATCAATGCAATTCATTTGCAATTGCAATAAAAAAAATAACACACCTAAAATATATTTTATGCTATTTAAAAACATTAAAAAAAAAAGAAAAAAAAGTAGCAAAACTCCACTAACCAGCCACGTTGAATTGCATATGGGCTTTCACTATATGAAAGCTTGCAACTATGCAAGCACTTCACACATCAGTAAAATTCATTTTGCAATTGCAAGAGGACATCCACGTCATGATGAAAGTAAAAAATGGTAGCCGATGGAGATGCTCTAAGGGAAATGGCTATATTTGGCACGAAAGTTTCAAAATTTTGGCTATAAGTGGTATTTCGCCAAAAGTGGCTATAAGTGGCACAAGTGTGAAAGTTTTGGCTACACAAGTGTATTTTGCCTTTTTTTTTTATTATCAGGAACCTCGGCCCCACGTGACACTTTGTGACAGTGGGGCCTACTAAAACTTGGGGCCACCTACAATCAACTCGACACCAACGGGGCTTCGCCCCCAGCAGCCTTGTACCTCCGGTAACACCAACGGGCCTCGCTTGGATTTGAACCTGGGATCTGCAACTCACAAACCTTCACTGTCACGACAACTTTACCATTAGGCTATCTTACCTTTGGTCAAGCCCTCAATTTTATTTCTTGGGAAAATGAGTACAAGTTTTTTTTTACAAAATATAATCATATATTGATTGAAAAAAATAGGTAGTTACTTTCTGGAATTCAGTATGGTCTGGAAATCAAAGAAACAACTCGCAATCGGGTACAATGCAAGGGCCTTTCTAGCCACCGAATGGGCTACCCTATTGCCACTCTGTTTTGCAAATCGAACACTAAAACAGATATGAAGTGCAAAAAATTGCACAATTCTCTCCAGAATCGCCCCTATCCGCGAATCTCTGGTATCAGCCTGAATAACCTTCTCGATGACCATTTTGGCATCCCCTCCAAACCTCACCTCTGTAAAGCCATGGCCTAGATACCATAAAATTGCCTCACGGAGCACCAACAATTCGACATCCATAGGATCATTAATCAGCGAGAATTGCACCACCATTAGCACAGAGGATGTCCCTAGCCTAGGTCATAATCACCATTCCGCCTGCCGAATGGGACCCACTCCTTGTAGCCCCATCCCAAATACAAACAACAAAGGGAGTCCCACTAGGGCTCAAATGATGTTGCGGGGGAAGGGTTGGTTGGAGCACACGGTTTATAGGCAGACTAACCCATTCCTCATATTGCTGGTTAAATTGTTGCATCAAAACTAGGATCCCAAACTGTTTACCCTCAAAGACCACCCAGTTACGAGACCGCCAGTTTCTCCAAAGGAGAGCGACAATTGCTAGGAAGACCGGGGGTTGGTGAACAAGAGCCATTAATTTTTTTAAAAAAAGCGAGAATGTGTGATGCGGCAATCCTTCCCCAAGATGCTCCATCTCAGAATGGCCCCAAAGAGCACGAGCTACAAGGCAATCAAGTAACAAATGCTCCATGGTTTCATAGTCAGCCTAGCAGACCGGACACCTGGGAAAAACGAGGACATGCTTTTCAATTAGGGCTTCTGTTGTTGGCAGGATTCTATTGAATATTTTCCAGACAAACACAGTAATTTTGGGTTGGATATCAGCCTCCCAAAAACGAATCCAGCTAGCCCTATCCATCTAACTAGCCATGGATTTCCAACGACCCTTCCGTTTATCCAACATGACAGCAAAGTGATAGGTCGATTTAACAGTTAGAACCCCATCATTCGTAGCGGTCAGATCAGTCCATCTTCAATATTCTGGCGAGGAAGAGGGATAGCTTTAATGGCCCGACAGGTTGGAGGGTCAAACCATTAGGCAAGCTTAAGGTCGCACCAACGCCCTTCCCTTTGGCATATAACCTCAGGTCGCCCCCAGGAGGCAACACTTGAGGGTTAAGTACCGGAGGATCGGGATGCAATAAGGGGATCCAGTTGGAATGCAACAGCGAGGCCTTCTAACCATTACCAATCTGCTAGCGGAGTCGCAATTCTAACAAGTGACGACCATAGGGGATGCTCTGCCAACCCCGTGAAGGGCGAGAGTGAGCCGTAGCAGAGTGGAAGGTCCCATTGGGAAGATATTTCCCTTTGTAAACCTGGGCCAAGAGTGACTGGGGTTCATTGAGGATTCTCCATCCAATTTTTTCTAGGAGAACCTGATTAAAATGCTCGAATCTATGAAACCTCATACCCCCATCGTGCTTACATCGACACATATTTTGCCAGGACATCCAGCAGATCCTAGAATGACCATCCTCCATCCCCCACTAGAATCTAGCCACATGTTTGTCCAGGAGACGACAAAGATAAAGAGGTAGCTTGAAACAGGACATAATATGAAAAGGCAGAGCGCAACCGATTTAATCAGAGTCTTCTAGCTGCCCATGATAACGTTCTCTGTTTCCATCCCTAGAGACGCTCCAGCAATTTCTCCTCCAAATAGCGGAATGTAGCCGTTTTTTATCTAGATATCAACATTGGTATGCCCAAATATTTATCGTGGACCCCTACCGCCCCAACACCCAGAATCTGAGTGAGGAATTCTTGGTCCGGCGTAACAATGTTCTTACTAATCATTCAGGATCT